TTATATACATATATTATATGTAAAAAAGTTTTATTTTTTAATTTCACATTAATTATATAATTATATACATATAACAGACACGTTATATAGGCCGCAATAAAAATGTTGTACCGATCTCCGTCATTCATGAAATATTTAATTCGTCTCCTTCTTTAGGACCTTCAAAATTAAAGACAAGAGCATTGTTAACATTTTTACTTTTTTTAAACTTTCAGAGTTTTGCTGAGAATTTTAACTGCTAGTAAAAAACACTGCCCCCTAAACCCACCACTGAAAAAACTGACAACTGATTTACTTAAATATGCAAATAGAGGCTAATTGATGAAATGTACAAAACGTGATGCGGAATAAAAGTTGAACGCTACTTTAAAAAAAATTGATAGTAAACGATATCTGCTCAATAACTTGTTACGACATGAAAACGAAATCCTAACATGACGGAACAAGCAGACAGAATTAAAAGTAATCACATCTATATAGGACAGATCAATGAATAGCGTTAGAAGAGACATGCAGTTTAAATCTTTTAATTTTTCAAATCTTTAGAAAAAAAATTATTTATTTTGTACTTTCACATCAGGCTGATATTTATAGACTGCATATATATATATATATATATATATATATATATATATATATATATATATCATTAAAAATGGTTGCCCAGCGTGCGTTATAATCTTTTTTATTAAAACCTCAACACTTCTGAGTTTGTTGAATCCATATTTATTGAGAGGAAAATTATTATTGAGCTTGGCTGACAATACTGTTTCGGAGTTAACCATCGTCGGAGCCTATTAGATCAAAAACACATAGTCAGAAATACAAATTTGAAATAAAATATTAAGTGAAATTTAAGTAAATGAGCAGTTGAATTAATAAATTAAATATTAATTAAGTTAAAATATGAGAGTAATCTTCGAATATTAATGACATTATACATATATATATATATATATATATATATATATATATATATATATATATAAGGAAATATAAATGAAATTACCAAGATAATAAAATTACGATAACTGAGAAACGAAATGAAATTATAAAATTGGAAAATAATATAGTGAAGTTAGTATTAAAAGTCATGTTCTTAACACTGTATGTTATCTGTTATGCTAATATCGTTAACTTTTAATTATTTTACTTCATTTTAATTCATTACTTTCACGTATAATTTACATATATTTTTCCATCTCCTTTAATTTCATTAATTTCAATAATTTCAATTCTCACCAATTTCTCACATCAAACGGTTTTCCATAATTACATCATATTTTGCAGATAATAACAAAACTATTAAATATTAAAGTTTGGCACATGCGTGGGCACACAGATAGACTAAACGTCTGAATCACATGCCCTTTGCCACACAGCGTTGTGGAAACATATATTGGCCACACTCGAACCACTCTCTCACATAGACTAACGATGCATCTACAGAACGGAGCAATCAGGGACCATATGTTGATTGCGCACAGTCAGCAACTTACGCGAGCTACACTGGTGAATGGTACCAAGGTAATTGATCGAGAACCACATCCAATCAGGCTTAGAATAAAAGAAGCGTTATACATACACAAAAACAAGCCATCTCTCAACAAACAAACCAACACCTTCGATCACACCCTTCAACTGTTCTCCCAATACTATAACACCTCCCAACTACGTACGAACTTGGTCCGAGCTGGCGATGGTACAGTACAACGACACAGTTACCAGCCTGGTTTGGATCCAGTAGGTTTGAATCAGGCCAATGGGGCTACTTGTCGACCACGGACCTACGTCGTAACGTCGCTTGCCACTTTGTTTGATTCAGACGTTTAGTCTATCTGTGTGCCCACGCATGTGCCAAACTTTAATATTTAATAGTTTTGTTATTATCTGTGTAAACGAACATGTATGTTTACATGAGTTTATATTTATACGTTTGATTGTAAGATTGCATGTACAATTGCGAAAGGATGTTTCCACTATAATGCAGTTATGCGTATGCAAGTGATATTTCCATTCACGATATATTTATTCGATACATTCCACACAATGAAATAACACGATATAAGCTCATAGCTTCTTACTATACACACTGCTTTCTACCGGTTTTAAATTTATAAAATTGTTGTTTTGAATTTTAATTAGGCATATTTAATATAATTTAATTGCATTATTTTAATATATAATAACTTAATTTTACCTTATTTAACTTCGTCTTAATTATTTAATTATCAATTTCATTTTCACGTTTATTCCTTTATTTAACCTTGTTTTAAAGGTACGTTTCATATGTTTTTTAAATCTTTTAAATTGTTTCACACTATTGTTAAAACCCAATATAATTTCAATATTTACTTTAATATTATTTTAATAATCTTAATTTAATTTCATCTTAAAATATTAAATCCAGCTCCGACGATGGCTAAATAGCCGAAACAGCGCTGGCGGCTGACACTTACAACATTAATTAAATTATGACATTAAATAAATACGAGTATAAAAATTTACGTCGTGTTGAAGTTGTCTTTAAAAAACTACTAAATGCAGAATGGGCATATAAATTTAACGATATATGCATCAAAGAAAGCCTCGTTCCAAACTATATATATATATATATTTATATATATTTACAATATTCTATAAATTCTACCGAATGTTTGGCGTTAACATATTAACGTCAAACATTCGGTAGAATTTATAGAATATTGTAAAAATTATGGTCTATTACCAAAATTTATATATATATGTATATCACCGCATTTACTAAGTTTTTCAATTTTTCGAACAATTATTTTATCGATATTATTCAATTGATTCAAATTAATAAAAAAACTTCTAATTATTTTAGACTGCATCTTTTCATACATACATTTATATAAAAGATTTTTTCGATAATCTTTACCACCATCTGTGTATTAGAGTTTGTGGTATTGTTATATGTAGTTTATCTGGTATTTATAGTATTTTTAACAACTGAACTCTAAGTTTTATTGTTTCTTTGTGTGAGTAATTTTTTCGTTGCTAGGATCGTTACAGCCTGTTGGATGTTTATTACAGCGTTTCGATTTTCTATTAATAAAGCCTCAAACTGGTTGTAAAATAACACTTTGTTATTTTTATTTGTGTGAACCCATTAGATGATATTTTATTGCACCATTTTGTGTATGCATTGTTAACCTTCTTGTTAAAGTCGTAGTAATTGTTCGAAAAATTAAAAATTTTAGTTTTAATTTTAAAAATTCATACAATACCATATATATATATATATGGTATTGTATGAATTTTACCAAATTGTTGGTA